CTGATGGTCAGAGCACAGTCCTGGATATGGGCAGGCTGAAGTCTCTGTTTGATCTAACGGATAGATTTTTTTCTTTCTGAATTCCTGTAAATCAAGCATGAGGTGCTGAGCCTGGGTTTTTAATGAGCCAGACCCAGAGGTGTAGGAGAGCAAATCTCCCCCAGTAAACACATTTTTCTCTTTAGAATATAATTTATTATATCCTTTATCTTTTACCTTCAGCAAAATTAAATTTGATATATTTTAAAAAGCTCCGATTATCTCCAAGCAAATGGACTGCAATGTACATAACATGTACCCTGAGGACTGCAAGACTCATGGAGAAAGGAGAAGACAGGATGCATGGGATGCACGGGGTGCATGGGGAAGGTCTCTGAAAATGGGATATGGATGTGGATGCATAATTTACCACTAGAGGGCACAGTGTAAGTGAATAATAAGGAGCGGAATAAGGAAAGCATGGAAAAAATATGGAAGAGGAAAAACAGTCTCAGCACATGCTGATAGCATGAGAGTCTAAAGAAGAGGAGAGACAACATATGAGACCAGAGAACCAGGTCTCCTTGTATGAACTAAAACGAAATATTTTGGGGGAAATATATCATTCTAATATTGAGAATAACAACAACCAGATCCATGAACACTGAAGAGTTTTAGGCACTTTTCTTTGTTATTTTAGTGTAACCATTTGCATATCCAAGGCAGAATAAATCTAATTCTTGGGATAAAAATAGGGCTTTCTTTTTTTTCTTGCCTGTTTTCTAGTCTACAAATCATTCAATTAAGTCAATTGGACAGCAATGGGTATTCCCTGCTGTTTATCTGAGTGGAGAGGCTTAGCGTGAGATTAATTTCATGTTACTCCAGCAAGCTCACTGGAGGCAATCTGCTGGGCTCCCCCTGCAGTCCATGGAGAACATGAGGTTTAAAAACGTCTGTTCAATGATAAAGAAGCAGATTTATATCTACCTTTACACATTTATAGAAATAACATTGTTAACAGCAGGGATTTAAACCAATTTTAAACATATTTACTCTATATTTACAAGTAAACTCTTCCTCTTACAGCTGCATGGTAGGTCTCTTGACTCATATTAGTGGTATCTCTGGTAATAGAACAGGTACCTGTCTAATGCATAAACTGGGATTGGTAATGGCAAAATCAGAGCAGAATTTTCCCTCAGGTTACATTAAATTTCATGCCTGCACTAGACAGCTCATTAGAAAATTTAGCACGGTAGACATAACTAGAATAGCTTTTTGAAACAAGAATCAATACAGAAAGTTTTGGTACAAAAGAATTATTTTATTATTGCTTAAAAAATTGAGAACAAAAATAAATTCCAGTGTATTGAGTTGTCAGAGGACAACTTAATAATAACAAATAACAAATGTTATTCCATGAAGTTCACATTTGTCATAATACTTAAATAGTAGGACTAGAAACAGTAATTAATTTTTTTTCCATCTGTCTTCCCACACATCTAGAAATTATTAAAAATAGAGTGATGAAAAATTATAGGTTGGACCAAGGGAAAAAAAAAGCAACATTCTATTTTTCCTGAAGCTTTTATTGTACTACTTTCAGAATTATTCTGGCAAACGAAAAGGGTCAGGCCATGATCTTAGTGAATTCAATTGTAGAATTTTACTAATTTTGAGATTTTCACACTAGTGTCAGGCATCAGTTGAGGAGGCTGTCAGCTGGTCTCCTTATCTAGTCAGTGAAGGCAAAAAAGAGACATATTTTCAATATATCTTTGACTATTGCACTAGAGAAATTCAAAGTAGATTAAATGCAAGAAGTATGTTGCTTTAATGAAGTCTTAGAGATGAAACAGTCCTGGAAATAGCTACAAACATCTCTCAGGGTATATATGCTGTAGGGGCAATGGTGGATATCATCAACATCACTTATTGAAGGTCTACATAGCCTACTAGTTGCTAACATCAAAAACTATTAACCAAACTATTTTTGGGACTGTCCTACACTCGTACTAGCAAATGAAAGGTAAATTTGTTCAGAGAATATGGAATGAACAAGTCAACCAATATATTTTGTGCTTGTTTCATCAACACATAGTCCATACAAACTGCAGTATGGACCCATACATTGAATGTTAAGTGATGTTCCCTGAAATGCTCAGATGTGAATCCTTGGAGATAAGAAAATGAACTGCTGACATTTGAATAATTTAATTTTTCTCAATCTGAATAATTTAACTTTGCTTCTTGGAAAAATCACAGCCCTAAACCAGAAATGTTCATGATTTTATCACTGGAGTTTACTTATACAAATGTCACAGGTTTGACACAACACTGTTGTGTTTTAATTAAATGAGTGTCATGAGCTTTTTCAGGAACAAGCTGAAATCAGCCCAAAGACTAAAGTAGTAACTTCCCATATTAAAGTAAAACAAATCTAAATGAATATAATCAAACTGGTGAAAAATGAATATAATCAGCTGGTGAAAAGTTGTATCAACTGAGCTGAGGTAAAAATAGCCACTGAATTGAAATTATGTATATAGTCTAAAAGACAGTAGAAAACTGGGTCAGATATTTGGCTGCTTTAGTCCATAGGAAACATTTGTGATCCCTTCCAAAAGGCATTTTTCCTGCTGAAAAGCTACAGTAATGTAAGAAGACATTAAGATTGCTGTAGTAGTGGTGTTTACAAAGATAGATAATAGGGACTTGAACACTGTAGCACTTTTCCTTTGTGAACGTTCCAGTGCTCATAACAATGCAACTGCCTTCTCACAAAATGGGTTGACAACGTGGAGATCAAGCAGAGAAGCACTAAGAAAGATTATAGGGGGCACTTTGGCACTGGTTTACTGAAGTGCAGACTGTAGTTTAAAGTGCTGGGGAAATGTCTATAGACAAAAGGAGTTATTGAAGTTACACTTGAACTCATATGCCATAGTGCACATAGTAAAAATATAGTGATTGTGTGAACCATTTTGCTTCTTAGGAAATCAGTGGTTGACTGCATTTCTCTCTAATCACTCCTGGCTCAGGATTAGTTGGGTTTTATTAATGCAAAAACTCTTTAAATTTGTCCAGACACTATTGCTGCATTGCTCAGCAGCTGATACACCTCTTGCAAATGAAGATGCACGCATTTGCAAGATGATCCTGAGAAATAGTTGATAGCTTGCATTCGATTAGAAAAGCATTACGCAAACCAGCCTGATTCTAATGGGGAGCAGATAGAGATGTGGGGTGGAAGTAGTTTAAAAAAAACCCCTTCCATCTCCCCTGGAATCTGATCTGCTCAACAACTTCTCAGCAATCTGCTATCCAGCTCTCAGCATTTCCTAGCACATAAGGTTTGTGGGGTGCAAAACCAGAAAGAACTTTACAAACTCTCTACATTAGAGAGACGTGAACCTTTTGGAACAGGTCCAGAGGACGGCTACAAAACTGGTCAGAGGGATGTAGTACCTCTCCTATGAGGAAAGGCTGAGAGAATTGGAGTTGTTCAGCCTGGAGGAGAGAAGGTTCTGGGGAGACCATTTAGCAGCCTTTCAGTATCTAAAGGGGGCTTATAAGAAAAATGAGGATGGGCTTTTTAGTAGGGTCTGTTGTGATAGGACGAGGGGTAATGATTTTAAACTAAGAGAGGGTAGATTCAGACTAGATACAAGGAAGAAATTTTGTACCAGGAGGGTGGTGAGACACTGGAACAGGTTGTCCAGGGAGGTGGTAGATGCCCCATCCCTGGAAATATTTAAGGTCAGGTTGGATGGGGCTCTGAGCAACCTGAAGCAGTGGAAGATGTCCCCGCTCATTTCAGGGGGGTGGGACCAGATAACGTTTAAGGGTCCCTTCTAACACAAACTATTCCATGATTCTATGATTAGAAATCAAAAAGTGCAAGGACAGGGAGTGTTGCATGTATGCACCTAGATGCTCTTGATGAGGGGCAAGGCTAGTCATGTTCTGGATGTTTGAAAAGCAATTTGTTGATAACAAAAGCAATTACTATAGAGAAATTAATTTTTGGTGCAGTTAGTGGAGAAAGCCGTGCAAGAGCCCAGGTGAGGACACAATCTATCTAACCTTAACTGAACCAGCACAGGTTTTAGCACCAGGGCCTCACAATTTCAAGGATGACTTAAAAGTTACTAAAAAAACTTCAGCAGTTGATGCTTGTTCATGGTTATCTTTACCTTAAGCTTCATTGGCTAATATGAGCATTTACCTGTCCACATGCAGACACTAAATTTAGGAGTCTTAACCCCCAGCTGAATTCTACCCTTTGTCTCAGGAGCTGCCAAACAGGATAGCTCCTCCAGAGAAGGACAGCAGGCCTAATATGTTGAGATTTGGCCTTCTACCTTTTTTTCTCAAGACAGATTTTTTTTCCTACCACATAGTTATAGAACAGTTGTGGTGTAAGTACAACTCTGGTATCACTAACAGAGACAGACAGACACTGAGCTAAACTTGATCCCACAGCTGAGGCAACTGGATGTCTGCACAATCGTATTTATGACCTATTGGCACAATCCCGCTACATACCTGATTTAATATACGTGAAACTGCGACCCTCAGGCTCCATATTCCTTGGGGATATTGTCACACAATGTCTAGCACAAACAGGGTCACAGGTTGATTTTGGGAGGGTGAAATGATGCAAGACCCAACTAAATACTTCAGTAGTACCTCATACCCAAACGTGAGCTCCAAATCATGTAATTATTCTTCACCACCACTACATTTAAGGGCACTCTAATTTAATTTACATCATCCTATCTCCCAGGCTAACTTACTCCAAGAGAAATTTCCTTTCTAATGTATTTCTCACAAATTATTCATCCTTCCTTACACCAAGACACTGTACACCTTTTAGGACAGAAATTAGGACAAGGGACACTATGAATATCAAAAGATAGTATCTTTTGTTTTTAGGAGTCTGTAGACCCTTTTTCTTCCCATTGTGTTTTAGCTACTAAAAGTTGGCAGTTTAAGAAAAACAACTTTGGGGAAAATATTTTTAATCACAGAGTTTATTTACTTAGTAAAGTTATATTACAATATATACAGTTTCTATTTACATACACACCTTTCTAAGAAATGAAGCACCATATAATACAGTTAGTATTTTAGAGGAATTTACAGATATATTATTTTTGCATCCAAATAGTTATATCTACAGACACATATTAATTAGAATCAAATACTTATAAGACACTGACTTTAGTCGGTTTTGGATTAGAGTGCTAGTGAAGTTATCAAAGAGAAATTTAACTGCTGTTAGCTATCAACCTGCGCTTCAGGATAAGGGACCTTAGCTATGTCATTTCAGAGGCTACGTGCAAATTTAATCCTCAGAGAAAGTCAGAGGTATTGACAGAAGGTATTTTATAAGTCACAAGAATGCAACACTTCCATCAGTAAGATTTTTACTGTCATCAAAAAACAGAGTTTCATTAAAAAGGAAAAGAACATTGCTTAAGTTTATATGCATGATGCAGAATGAAATTGAGAATCTGGAAGATTCTGTGATACATTGACTCTTAAAGAGCCCAGTCCTACAGCTACTGAAACTTGTGGCATGATCCCCTTAACCCAGGAGAAAGTCTAGCTGTCTCCTTTGTGACCTTTCTGTCACCATCGAGAAAAAAAGAAGGCTCTGTCCAGGGTACAAAATTTCCTTCAAGTGAATAAAAGACATTTGGAGGGGGGAAACGTAAAATGAGGTATTTAATAAACTACAGGAAAAAAGAAAGCACCTAGTTTGAAAGACCGTTTTGAAAAAACATTTTAGTTATTTTATATACGCAACTGTTACCTTCACCTGATTGTGGGTCAAGTTTTGTATAAACTATTTATATCTTTTATGCTATCTAATTCGTACTTTTCATATTTTTACTTCGCTAGATGACAGATCTGATGGTTGGAAGAAAACAATGTTACTCAAAGGACAGTTGTTATGACAGACGCAGGTGTTGATCAACATCATTGGCTTTTTTAGGACTTTGCCCTGAGGACAGCGGAACTCCACCTGAATGGTTTTGGTGTTGTGTGGGGTACAGCATCGCCCATCACTGCAGAGGCCACAGTAACGTGGTTTGTATGTCTGCACACTCGTGCAGTTGTTGTACTCAAAGTGAACAGCTTTCACAGACTTCTTTGTTCGGACACATTTCTTCCCTTTCTAAGAGAAATAAGAAGAGATATTAGATGTATCACTGCATAAGACAAATGGCGTGCAAGGATATAGGTCTACTCAGAAAACTTAAATTGTCTTTATTCACTCAACAGCAAGAAGAGCCTGCAGCTGCTTCAGTAGTCACTTACAGGTAACACCTGTAAGATCTGCCCTTTGACAACAATGGACCAGTAATAAATGACAAATAATTAAAGCCCAGGCTTGTCATCTGATATAAGCAAAGTCAACATTCATTATGAAACTATACTCTACTGGAAAACTTCTCAAGATAGTGTAGTTCCATCAGAGAATCAGGAAGCCAAACAACCAAGTTACAGGACTAGATTCAGGGGAAAAAAGAGGGGTAAAATGAGTTGCAAAAGTTGTAGTCCATTCCTGTGACCCAAGGCAGCTTTAATCATGTGTTTCTTAGCAAATGATTGTCTAACTTGTCTTTGGAAGTCTTCAGTGACAGAGACTCTATATACCACCAGACAACCCTAATGGTTCACTGTTCTTACTGTCTGGAAGGTTTTCACTTATGTCTTAATTTTCATGAAGTCTAAACTCTCCATCTATTCTTGTATCCCCCATGGGCTCAAAACAGGCTGTAATATCTGAACACAGTTACGAGAATGAATATCTCTTCTCTTGCATTCAGAGGAAGTTCAGTTCTATTAGTTTTTCCCTAGATGAACATGTTTTCTAGACCTCTGATCATTCTTGTTAATGTCCCCAGCTCCTTGCTCATGTTTCATATTCTTTACAAAACACATTATTTAAAACTGCAGAGACTGTTCAGCAAAGGCCTTAGAAATGCTTTTCAACACTTTATATAAAGTAATGGTCCTCTTATATAACTACATGTTATTCTACCTGACAGGAATACTTGTAATAATATGCTGAAGGAGCAAAAAAGTCAGCTCCCTTAGATACACATTTTTTTTTTGCATTGGAAATGTTGGGTTTGCTTGCAAAAAAGCATCATAAGGATTAAAACAAGGTTTAATTTACCTAAGCAGACTTTGCAGGATCTTACACATCTCTCTGTAGTTCCAGATGCTCAATAAACTAGAAATCTGACATATCCATTCTGTATGACTGAAGCAATTCTGAAGTATACATACAGGTAGAACAATTGCATTTGTGGGAGAAGTTAGACTGTGTGAGCTGTCAAAATAACCTGCGCATGCAATACATGTGATCTGAGACAGTTCAAATTATCATAGAATCATAGAACAGTTTGCGTTGAAAAGGTTGTTTAAAGATCATCTACTCCAACCCCCCTGCAGTAAGCTGGGACATCTTCCACTAGATTGTATTGTTCAGAGCCCTGTCCAGCCTGACCTTGAATGTTTCTGGGAATGGGGAATGGCATCTACAATCTCCATGGGCAACCTGTTCCTGGTGTCTCACCACCCTCATTGTACAAAATTTCTTATATCTAGTCCTTTAATCTAGTCTGAATCTACACTCTTTTAGTTTAAAGCCGTTACCCATTGTCATATCACAACAGGCCCTACTAAAAAGTCTCTATCTTTCTTGTAGGCCCTCTTTAAGTACTGGAAGGTGCTGTAGGGTCTCCCCAGAGCCTTCACTCCTCCATGCTGAACAACCCCAACTCTTTCAGCCTTTCCTCATAGGAGAGGTGTTCCAGACCTCTCACCATCTTAGTGGCTCTCCTCCGGACTCCTTCCAATAGGTCCACATCTTTCCTGTGCTGAGGGCCTCAGAACTGGATGCAGTACTCCAGGTAGGGTCTCACCAGAGTGGAGCAGAGGGGCAGAATCCCCTCCCTTAATCTCCTGGAGGTGCAGCACAAAGCTACTAAGCAAATATGGCAAGTCTAATGTGTTTGGTAAAAAAACCCCTTGCCTCTGAGCAGCCTACCTTATCAGATGACTCATCATTTTCACAAGGTCTTATCATGCAGAGCCGCGTCTGCTTCACCATCTCACACCGTTGATTTCTGTTTGTAACACGAGTGGAAAAGCCCATTCCACAGCTTTTGGAGCAAGCACTCCATTCTGTTGTCTGCTCAATACAATTGGCACTTGAATCCGACACATCAATCCCAAGTGTGGCCTCTTGTCTGTAGGCTGGAAACAAAACCACACAGAACTTTACTACAAGAAAAACTCCCATGAAAACCCAGTATCTGACTGAGCTCCACCACATCTGGAAAGCAACATGTGAGACAAAAAAAGGTTCAAAACCCATGCCTTTGACAAGATTTAGGAATTTTAAAAGCTGCCTTTTTAGGAATCCTGGATGGTAACTTCCTTCATCTAAAAATAACAGAAAGGTGCATATCAGTGTAATCAGCAAAGCATTTAGATTCAGCTCACTCAAGAATTATTGCCAATTTTCAAAACAGTTTAGAACTCTAATAACTTTTCATTCCTCAGTCTTTCCAATGGACATACATCACAAATCTGTTCTAAAACTAAGTCACGAAAATATTTATATTAGGTGTGATTTGAGAGAGGTTGAATGATCTATCTAAACTAATAAACAGCATGGAAATAAAGTCCTTTCCTCTCAGAATCATAAAGTCACCCCATCTTGTCAATTATTGACTGACTACAGTCAGGGTGATGGTGGAGAGGGAGAAGGGAAGCAAATTTCAGGAGCTATCATAGCTACTTAAAGCCATAGTCAACTCTGACCATCGTCCTGCCATATTAAGCTGTACTATGCAAATATTGTTAACTGCATAGTTTGGCTCATTGATTAGCACAGGAGCAAACAGGAAGAGGCAACATAACTGAGCCATCGGTCACAGTTCTTGCTGTTAAGTTCCTGCACAATGGCGCTTCTGCCTTTTGCATGGTAAAGATCCAAAAAGGTGGTCTCCCAAGAGGGATGGCAACTGCTAGAAAGAATGCAGATAATTCATCTATAGGAATTTTAGAGATTAGCCTGTCACTATCAGACAAATCAAAGAAAAGGAAAGGTAGCAGAAAGGTGTCAAACTTTTTGTTTATACCTTATGTGCCTTACAACTTACACTTCATAGCACATTGAAAAGTCATTAGAATTTTTCTCTCTGGATCCTTCCTCACTTGTTTTTTAAATGGATTAACCAAGTTTCAGCATAATTAACTGCTAAGATCACAAAGAGCAGTGACTGGAAGAGAATGCAGTGCCCTCTATTCTCAGTAAAAGTAGCTTATGAAAATTCATGTTGAACCAATAGTCTAATTTAAAGGGGATGGAGACATAACCCAGTAAGAAAACAGGGGGAAAATATTGTCTAGGGTTTTTCAATTACAAAAGCACTTTAGGAGTTCTGTATTTTAGAATGGGTCGGGATTTTTTACAGATGTACTCACTGTGCTTATATCCACTCCTTCTCCAAGTACTCTGTAATGTTTTTAACGCCAGCAATAATGATGAGAGCTCTATCACAGACAAGCAGGAATTTGTTGGTATTCTAGCAACCATGCTGACCACTTGTAGGAGCTGCAGAATTTAGGGGGAAAAAAGTCTCTTGTAGACTAAGCCATTATGATAGTATTTATGATGTAACATATTCTTGCAGAGCAACTGGTAAGACAAGCTTTGATTTTTTTTTTTTTTTTAGTGTGGGAATGTTTGGAGGATTCGTAGCTTGCCCCTGTTTTATTCTGCTCACAGAACTACTATGCACCAGATAAACAGAAATTTAAGAACTGGGAAGTAATTTAAGTTAGCTAACTTTTAAAACTGCTGTGTACATTCATCTTCTCCTGAATCTCTTACCTGTCGGGCTCTGCCTTTATTCATTACCACTGGTATACCTACTAGTCACTTCAGATGAGAAAAAAAGATCAGAAAAAAATAGACCTTGCAAACCAAGGTGTCTTACATTTGGCAACCCCATGGATATTTCCAGTATGATATCCCCTCCTCCTCCCATTGAATGTGATAGTTTTAATTTCCTCACCAGCCATAGCAAAACCTCCCAAAATCACTTCATCATCGGGGTCGCAGATCCACTTCTCACAGCACTCTCCAGGGACTTCGATTTTTCTGGGAAAGGGGCAGTCGGGGCCGGGGAGCAGCAGGTCCAGGTTGCAGCGGGGCAGGCAGCCGATCTGTCCGTCGCGGCAGGTGCACTGGTACTTGCAGCTGGGTTGGAACGTCTCCCCGTTGCGATAAATCATCCCGTCAAACACGCAGTTGTCTCCCTCCAGCACTAGTGGGAAAAGGGAAGGCATTTCGCTGATGCAGTGGGGATTCGGACGGCCCCCGACCCTCCCAGCCCCTCGGCGGCCGCAATGGCACCTCCCGCAGCACCAGGGAGAGCCCCGGCCCCCCGCGGTGCGGCCGCTTTGCCGGAGGGAAGGCGGGAGAGCAGCGCTACAGAGACACCCGCAGCG